AGCTGCAACACATTGAAATAAAAAGACTTATTGGAAAAAATGTAAACATAATTAAGTATAAACATTTAAGACACACAAATGCGTGTACAAGTAAAGGAAAAACAATTAATACATATGTAAAAAACAGTAAAATTTAAATTATGTGTTAAAATACATTGAATAATTTGTTGAAACTAACCTGGAAAAATAAATATGAAAGTCAATTWAAATATAAAACATGAGATAAAGTTCTCTAATTGGTGCCTTTAAGTGTATTTTTTTAATAGTTCATTTATATAATTCTGCTTTTATTTCTAGTTATGTCAGTGTTGGTCCTCCGTACTGCAGAAGCCTGATAATCATTTATTCATATCAGGTGTGTTGGAGCAGAGGAACAAGTAAAACATGCAGGGCTGCGGCCCTCCAGGACCAGGAGTGACCACCCCTGGGCTGAAAGCAGTAAAAGCTAGCTAAAAGCTAAAGTTATAAATAGCTATTAAAAGAAACAGAAGGTAGCTAAAATAGGAAAAGGCTATAAGCAGTAAAAAGCTAGCTAAAAGTTATAGCTATAAAAGAAACAGAAGRTAGCTAAAAATAGGAAAAAGCTATAGGCAGAAAAAGCTAGCTTAAAAAATTAAACTTGCAAAAGGCTGGTTAAAATAAGCAGAAGCTAAATGCAGCCAAAGGCTAATCAGCAGTATCAGGAGGCAGCTAAAAGCTGATAGCAGCTAAAAGTTAAAAGTAGACAGTGTTACTAATAAATCTTAAACAGTAGATCTTGTTCATAAAATCATAAAATAAGTTTTTGTCTCTGCAGGAGGAGTTCAGTAAGTCTCTGTCTAAAATCCTGCAGCAGAACAGAACCCAGACCATCGATGATGAAGAAACCTACGTCGGACTTTATGTGGACGTAATCCAGGTGAGAGAAACAGCTCAGGTTTTTGTTTTTGTTTTTTCAGCTGCAGCTTTTTTTAACATTAAAGCTGTTTCCTGTCGTTGTTTCAGTACACCAGCTCCATGATCCAAAAGGCCCAAAGCACAAGTCCAGAACTTCACAATGAAGTCCAGGAGGTTTGTTCTCAGGAGCTGATGAACTTTGTTACAAGGTAAAAGTCTGGCTTAAATCTTTACCCAAACTCTGACATCTAAACCTTCGGCTGTTATGATCCAAGTGGACAAAATGGCCGAAGTTTTGATGAATTTATGTTAGACTTTAGATTAACAGCCGAAGAGAGGTTCCTTTGTTCCTGCTCCAGCTGTTTGAATTATTCAAGCAATTAAAATTATGTAGTTTCTCTTTTTAATTTGACTTTTTGTCACGTTTAACTGCTTAACTTCAGCTTCTCTGTGTTTTTAGCTACACTGCAGAGCAGGCTGAAACCCTCAGAGCTTCGGTGCAGAAAACTGATGAAACGATTCATTTCCTGAAGACTCTGAGGACCTGTGAAGAACTCAGGTACTCATCCATTCATCGGGGGTTAAATCATAAAACATTTATTAATTATAGGTTAAACACAGTTAACACAGTGAGATGATAAAATATGTTTTTACTCCGCTTTTAGAAAATATGTCCAACTGAAAGAAAACTTCAGCCTGAAAGAAGAAATTACATCAAAGCTCAAAGACATGGAGGCTCTTATTTTGAAACTCCTGATGGAAATAATAACTGAGTTGGCTGAGGTGGGTTTACAACCATTGATTTACTGTATATTGCTGGAGTGGGCGTGGCTACATGGGCATGCTCACACTAAGCTCTGATCTGCACTGAGGAGCCTGAACAAAATGAATGGAGGTCAACGAACCGTGAGGTGTCTTCCTGATGAAAAACTCATAAATTTATTATTTCTTGCTCGAWTTTTACAAACTACGGTTCAAAAATAAAGCTGAGGAAATTGTGAATTTTATAGTTATGGAAATTTAAAATAAATAAATAATTTAAATGACTAACAG